CCCTCCCTCCCCGCTCGCGGAGCGCCGTCGCCCGGGCAACGGGATTACAGGCGAAGAGCGCTGTTTATTCTCAGCCCAGTGCCAGGAAATTCGGCGGGGAGGCGGCGGGACTCACCTCGCCGGGGGCGGGCACGCGGCGGGGGCAGGGGGGGGATCCGTCATTGATCACCGGGGGTCACTGACCCCCTCCGGGAGGCCACTCAGCGAGGCCTGACTCTTCTTTCTCCCGGCCCGGCAGCAGCCAGTGAATCAAGTTTTCTGGTCCTGGCTGAGCAGAGACCTCTCCACGAGGCCCAGCGGGCGAACCCGCCACGAATCTCCACCCCAGGGGATCCGGGCGGTTCCTGCCTCCCTCATCCATCCACCCATTTGTCCATTCAGCAGATAGCTGTGGGACAATGCGGGGGGGGGGGCGTCAAGCACGGTGCTAGACCCAGGAGATCGAGGGTTGGACCCGACCAGGCCCTGCGGGGGAGGGGAGAAGGCTCCCCAATACCTCTTTCCTTTTCCACTAAACCCAGGAGCGGGCAGGAAGGCCGATCACACAGTAGACGGGCAAATAGGCAAATCTGATCAGTGAGCACACCCCATGTGTGTCGCTAAGAAGCTTGTTTTCACGATCTGGTACTGTTTTGTCCTTCAGCGTGACCAGCCTGTTCAGGTTTAGCCTGAGAGTCTCCCAAGCTAGGACAGTTGGTTTCTCTACCCTAAGGGCAGAGTTTATCCATTATAGAGATGGAGACACAGAAGCCCTCAAATCCACACACAATCCAGGGTCATGGGGTTGGAGTCGAAGGTTCTAATACACATCCCCGTGTTCTTTCCACAAAACCACCCATCTCTGCCCAGCACCCCCACCCCCTCCCCTGCTTCCCAAAGATCTCCCCAAAGCACAGGGGACTGACTCAGCCTGCTCGCCTGCCCTGCCCCCTTCCAGGGCGAGGGTAATCTTGAACTCCAACTTCTGCTCCTGAGATTCACCCATTCAGGGGGCCACCTGAGTCTGAGCAGTCACCACCTCTGGGGGTAACTCTTCCACCACCTCTTGCTGCCTTTTGGGCAAGGCAAGCCTGGATCCTCCTCTCTTCCTGGACAGGGAGTTTCCTCCTAGTACTTTGACTAAGCCAGAGCTGGGAAATCAGCTGGGAGGGAAGGCTGGGAGTGCACCACCACCTGCACTGTGGCAAGCCCAGACAAGTGGGGCCTTTTCTCTGTCCAGGGGCCGCAGCCTCGGAGGCCCTGGGCCCAAGGACAGCTGGGCCAGGGTGGAGGATGTGCTCCTTCCACAGCGCTGAGCCCTCCCAGCTGTGCTGTGCTGGGAACCAGCCAGGCAGTTTGTGAAATTCTTGAGTGAGCCTGACCCACTGTCATGCGGACTGCCTGTGGACGCTGGAGCCGGGAGGGGGAGGGGAGCTGTTCCCAGAAGAGGGGAGAACTCTGGACTTCCCACTCCTGAGCGGCTCTGGGATTGCAGCACAGCCTTAAGCAATAGCAGCAACCTGGAAGGCAGCTTGCAGAGAGAACCAGAGGCCCCAGGCTCTTTTCCGAAAAAACGAAGCCAGGGCTCTGAAGGCAAAAACGGGGCAGATCTTTGTGATGATACTCTTGTGGTGGTTATTCATAGAAATGTATTTAGGTTCACCCTTAGGAACATCTAGGCTTAGAAAGAAAAACACCAGAATGCACGTTTGTTGTGCACATTACACGAGGAAATGTGTTTCCTCTCTTTCTCCTCCCCTTCCCCAAATCGTCAGTAGTCACTTTTCAAACAGAAGGCCTTGTTTTGTGTCTGTCTCGTACAGAATACTGGAGACATGCATCTGGATATAAAACTCTGTGAGGAGGTGTGGTGCTGTGGACAAATTCCGTCTCTGTGATGGGGTCCCATGAGGCCAGGGACTAAGTGGGCTGTAGTGCTCTTGAGCGAGGTAGGGTAT